CCCATATACTTGATATTAAAATTCAAAATAAATCAAATCAATATAATAAATTTTAACGTTTTACTCTATACTAGTTTGCTACGTATGCTTAATTAATGACAGAATTAGGTTAAGATATTTAAATGCCTAGATTATTTTCTGGAAGAAATATTTTGCGGTTTGCTATATTAAACGACTTATAATTTTATTACACAGTTCTATAAATGACTGCAGCACTGTAGACAAAGTGTATTACGTATTATTGCCCATATACTTGATATTAAAATTCAAAATAAATCAAATCAATATAATAAATTTTAACGTTTTACTCTATACTAATTTGCTACGTATGCTTAATTATAGATGACAGAATTAGGTTAAGATATTTAAATGCCTAGATTATTTTCTGGAAGAAATATTTTGCGGTTTGCTATATTTTTGTTTTATAGATAAAATGGATTGCATATTTACAGGGCAATCTAATGAATCATCACTTGCAGCAGTTATTTAAATTATTGTATAATGATGTAATCCAGTTTATATATTTGATAAGTTAATTATAAATAATTTTATTAATTTTTTTAAATTTGAATTTATTGCAATATTCAGTCTTTTCTTTTTCAGAAAATTACTGCGAAATATTGTTGTATTTTATTACGAGGAAGCAGAGAGCATCAAATTCCAAAAAATCTGGAAATTTTGGAGCGAAACAAAAAATTCATTCACAATTTTTTTTCTAATGGTAGAAAGAAATACGTTTACGACAACTTTCCCTATATAACCATATAGCATTGGATCAGTCGTGCGATTTCTTTTTGAAGCCGGCAGCCTGGTTTACTTTAGTGCGGGGGACACATCTGATACCCAATAAATTATTGAGTAACAGAGAACCATGTGACATCCATAGAAGAGGGTTGTGATACTTTAAAGTATCATATAAGCCAAGTTGAAAACAACTGATGTGTGTCAAAACATCTCTCTCTTGATGAATTTTAGTATCTCAGTTATTATTATCCAATCCTTTTCTACATCATTTATTATCTACCATTCAGATTACTGAAAGAGATTAAATAAATCTTTGAAATTATGTTTAACGCAATCTTTAGGTTTTTTTTTTCAAAAGTTCTTTTCTCTTTTGCAATGACAATGGAATTATTAGAATCGCTGTTAAAAAAATAGACCAAAAGTAATGAAAATCATTATTCTATCTGATAAACCGAATCTAAATTTATGAAATTTGTATTCGTTTCAGTTATATGCATGTATTCCCAACACAATACTTCAAACAAACACTATTGCATCGATGCCAAAGATATGTTGCATTAAGTAAAATTTGTTTTTAATGCAATTTAAAATATTAAATAAAAAATGTCTAATGTGTATATTAAATCATAGTATCAAAAAGGATGTATTATCGTTTCTAGCTGAAAGTACTGGAATTTAAATAAAACACAACTATGCAGTATACAATTACTGTAATGACTGTGGCGTATAGATTGTAAAATAACAAATAATAAATCTGGTTAATGAATATGTAAGCAACTAATTTCAGCACACTACTAATGAATATTTCTGCCTACGTTTAATATTTTTCAGGGAGATGTTGGATTTACACCCATCGTTTTGCAACATCCACGTGCAATGATCCATGCGAATTTTTAAAACAAACTATTTACATAACCGATTTATGCAAAAAGCTACGAATTATCTCTAATTTCAACATATTTTTATAATTTAAATATCTTGAAAACATTAATAAACTTCTTAAAGCCAAGTTGAAAACAGCTGATCTGTGTCAAAACATTTCTCTTGATGAATTTTAATATCTGTTGTTATTCAATCTTTTATTAAAGTGGTGAACTTTATCGAAAATTTTTCTGAAAAGTTGAAGGTTAAATAATTTAAATTTTAACTAAGAGAGTTAAAGACAACTTTAAGACTGTTTGTACACAACTTTAATCTATGGTGACTGTAAGACAATTGCAATGAGCATAGAATTTGAATCTTTAAACTGTGGCTTTCCAGTAAAAATTCAATATTAAACATTCAGTTATTTATATTCAATATTTAAAATAATTGGTGATAAAAATATCTGGTGAGCAAAAGTTATTTGTTCATAGAATAATCAGTAAATCATTAAATTATTTACTTAATTAATACATATAATAGTTAATAAGAGTTTAATTTTTTCAAGGTTAGTCTTTGAAATTTATTTTAATATAAATTACTTAATTACTATTACAGTTAATTAATTAAATAATGTTATATCATGTTATATATGTGTGTAAAATATCACAGATACTAGAAGATTTATATGAAACTTTCACTAAATACTTACAATTTGCATTTATTTACTATACACTAAATTTTATATAAAATGAAATAAACGTATTTTCTATAAAAGTATATCATCAAAATATAAAATATTAAAATACTGCATATAATGAATAATTTTAAGTCTGTTGTAAAATTATTCATAGGTTATTTACCCTGCATTAACTCATGTTTAAATAAATGTATTTATAAAATTAACAAGTGTTTTTTTAAAAAAATAAACCAATAACAACATGTTATTACCAGTAATACATAAATTTTGCTTTTTATTTTAATTATATGATAATAAACAATAACACCTGACATTTTTAGAATTTACTTTAAAGGGAAATTCTTACAAAATTTAATACTTTTAATGTAAAATAATTTAATATTTTAAGATATTTTATAATAAAAGAAAATATACCTTATAGTGAAAGTATAAAATTAAATTTTTCAAAAGTTTTATTTTGTACAAATATTGCTAAATAATCTCAAATGCCNAGATATAATACATATATTTACTTTCTTCTTTTCATCATTAAATGCAAATTCAACACAATACAAATTCTGTATTGTCTGCATAATATCCCATCACACGATGGAAGATCTGTTTCTCGATGTCTCCCAATAATGCTGAAGCACCAATACGAAACAGATCTGGTTGGAGCCAGTCATTCCCAAGTGTCTCTTTCATCAGGAATTGCCAATTTAATACATCTTTGGATGTTCGAATCCCTCCTGCTGGCTTGAATCCAACCTAAATGTTTTAACAGAAAAAGAATGTAAATAAATTAGTTATATGCATATTTATTTACATTTTATTTTACAACATTGAATATATGTTTGAAAATGAAAATTCATGCTTAGAAATATGAATTTCAAGATTAAAAATATAGGAATAGTGATAGATTAATGACTTTATTTTATATAAAACATAGCAAACAATAATTAGAGTTAAACTCTCAATTTATTTTCAAAATTTAAAATCTCTAACTCTAATCAATATTTACTATCTTTTACATAAAATGATTTCCCAAAATGTTACTATACTATAAACATTATTTTCTTAAATTTGCCTATTATAATTATTGTTCATATAATTAAAATTTTAATAGCAATTAACAATGTTAATGACTTTTATCATAAATATTAAAAGTTGTTTCTGATTCTCTACATTGTGAATTTGAATCCTGTCTTAAGCATGGGATGGGTGTTTCCATTTGTCAGAGGTTATTGATTATTTGGAAGTAAGGAAGGAGAGAGAGAGCAAACTATAACTGTGCATTATGTAGCATTGTTTCTAACTGAATTAAAATAATGATGATGATAATAAAATAAATCAAGAAAGACCTTTATCCCAGTTAATTCATAATAATCTTTAATTGCACGAGTCATCACTAATCCAACAGGCAGAGTTGCGTTAACAGTTTCTTTTCCTGTTGAAGTCTTAATAAAATCAGCACCTAAAATAAAATAAAGATTTTAATATAAAGTATGATAAGAAAAATAATATGTACCTGTTGATTTTATTTGAATAAGTTTGAATAGGCAATTATTCCTTTTATAACATCAATAAAAAAAAACAAAAAAAAAAAAAACAGCATTTTTACAAAGTCTGTCCACTAAGGCCAAAAAGTTGGCCTTGTTAGGCATCTTTAGGCATGTGCATAAAGTAACTAACAGATGAGTTGGTCCTGCAAAATATTCTGAAATCTGTTAGATCATGTAAAACAATTCAGCTATTGGTTACTGACAATAATGTTTTTATTTCCTGGAAACAATAATGAATCTAAGTTAAGTAAAATTTATAGGTGAAGAAATTAAAATTCCTAACAATAATAATTCAAAAGAATGTATTATCTATACTAATATTATAAAGAGGTAATGTTTGTATGTATGTATGTTAGTTTGTATGCAGCAGGTAATCTCCGAAACTACTCATCCGATTTCAAAAATTCTTTCACCAATATTTAGAATGGAACTTCAGGG